ATCCCTGGGGCGAGTCCAAGAGGCCCGTCCACCAGCCCCAAAGCGCGTTGCATGCCAAAGTGTGCATGTTCTCGCGCCTCCGAGATGCACCCTGCATCCCAACGTGGCAGAATTATAGCACCACGCCGCCCATCTACCACGCATCCCTTGCGCTCGAGGGAGGGCCGAGGTCCGAGGTCCTTGAACTGTGTATCCTGGCATTGCTCTCTTGCATCGCGTCCAAGGCCGAAGGCGCCCTAGACTTGATATTCGACTTTTCTGGTGGAGGGGCCTTCAGGGCCCCCCTCGTCCCCGCGGCTGGACGCAGCTTGAACAATTTGTGCGTTGCCGCGGCTAGATTGAGAAGTTGCGTTTCGTCTGGGACGGGGTGATTTATGCCCGTCCGTGTCAACTTCCCCTGTCCGTACCCTTTTAGTGCTCAGAGCAGAGCATTCAGGGATGCGGCTCTTCTACTCTGCCCTTTTTGCAGGTATGGCACATGGCCGCCTGTCAGTTCACGATTTGGCGGAGCTCACCAACATGGCCCGACGGCTGTCTGATCAAGATTGGGTTGCTCACGAATCAAACCTCGTGGCAGGACTCGTCGCCAGCGGCCTTCGGCCTCCGCCGCCCCCAGGTCGCACGCCAGGGGCTTCCGGTCGGATTCCGAGGGTGCTTCTGGGGACCCCAGGATGCAATCGAGGGGTCGGGGGAGAGGGGGGTGAGTTGGGCATTCAAACGCAGTGCTGACACTCTGGGTTCTATTTGTGTTACAAAAACCTTTGCCTTCTAGTCGGTGTGTCTGTACTGCTTCTCATTTGCACCCCCGCAACGTTGTCACCCTCTCCTGCTCATCCCCCTCCCTAGTTGCCAATGGGTGACGAAGGCGCGAGGGAATTCTCGACGCTTCGCGCGCCCCCTCCAGCCCCTCCAGCCCATGCGAGCTCAGGCGATTCGGGAAGCGCGGGGGCAAAGAAGGGGATCGCCGAACCGTGCGAAGGAGGGGTGAGGAGAGGGAGGATGGATGGATGGATGAGGGAGCGGGGAGAAGGATAATGCATATGATGATGAGGCAGGGAAGGAGGCGTATGAGGAGACAGAGGAGGAGGATAATCAGGGGGATAGGAGGAGTGGGAGGAGAATGCTGTTGGGGGAAAACGAGCAGAAAAACAATTAACAATTTGAATGACTCGGAGTCTCCTCGGATGTCTCCCGCAAGCTTTCGGGGGGCACCCAGAGGGCACCAAAAGGGCTCCTAGAGAGCTCCAAGAGTGCCCCGAGAGGGGCCCAACATAACCCTAAGCCGCATGTACTTAATATGTTTGTGGGGCTTGCCATAAGGGGCGCCCACGTACATGCGTCATGGGGCCTTGTCGGGGCCCTCCTGGTGCCTTCCTGGCCCTCCCTTTGGGCACCTCGGGACCCACCCCCCCAACAAACACGTCCTGGCCCCCTCTTGGGGCCCCAAGAGGACCCCTCTTGGGGCTCCACGAGGGCCCCGAGAGGGGTCCAGGAGGGCTCCAAGAGGGCCCTAAGAGGGGTCCAACAGCCAAGTTTGAACAGCGATTTCCCAAAAGACGAGCGGAGGAGACAAACGAATGCAAATGACAAGGTCGCGTGTCTCTTCTGGTTGTGACTCCAGCGAATGCAAATTACATGATCCAGTGTTTTCGTCTGGATATGGCTCCAGCCTGGAGTTGTGTTGTTTTGCATAGCCGTTGCATTGATGCGCATTGCCTTGCAATTCTTTGGATTGCTTTGCATTGTCTTGCATCGCATCGCATTGTTTTGCGTTCTGCTACAGTGAGGTGCGTTGCTGCCTCTGCACGGTACCGCATCGCGTACGCCGCACATCTTGCACCACATGGGTTGCATCACAGAGCATACTAGAAATCGCTGTTTGGGCCAGCGTCTGCAAGCATGGCTCTGGAGTGCAGTGGCCCCGATGGGGTCTCAGACACGTGGAGAAATCGTCTTTGGCGACAGCTATCAAACTATGTGCATCGTAGGCAAACAGGTGCTCGCGCGTAAACGCAGCGGGCGGCCAAGTGCTATCACGCCCTCGCCGCAACGCGGCGGCGGAATTTGGCGCCACGAAGCAGGGGGCTCACGCTTTACGTTTCCAGGTAGGGAGTCCGACGTGACAAAAGCAGTGGGCCTCCCAGAGTTCGCCAGGTACGTCAGCGTCTTGCCGAAACCAGTGCAGGCTGCCAGTGAGAATCACGCTTGTAACGCGACCGTGGGGGCCGACCGGCGGGGCGGCATGGTGGGGGGCGGCGGCGACATCAAGGGCGGCGGGGGTGTCGGCTGCACGGGAAGCTCTGCCCACGCCTGCTGTGGCGACGCGGCTTCCGACGCTCAGGGAGGCGATGGTTCCACGGCGGCTGGCGGCTGGCGGCCAGGGCCCACGCGCGGCTGGACTGGCACGGACGGCGGCAAGGGAGGCTGCATGCAGATGAGCGGTTGCGACGGCGTGGAGAGAGGCGGCACGGCGAATAAAGGCATGGGCGGCAATGGCGGCAGTGGGGCAAGCGGCATGGGCGGCAGCGACAGTAAGGGCCAGGCGGCGGCGGGCTATGATGGCCGCGGCGGCGCGCATGGCAACGCGGCGATGGGCGTCGCGGGCGGCTGCGGGCCCCGCGTCCCCGACAATGGGCGGTGCGGTTCGGGATGGGGAGGTGGTAACGGCCCAGTCGGCACCGTCGTTCCCGACGGGGAGTTGCTCGACCACGTCCACGAGGGTTGGGGTGGTTGCAGCGCTACACATCCGCAGCGCGGGATCGACGATGCCGCCCCGAACTACGACCACGGGGCCAATCATGCCATGAGGCCGATTGTGGATGGCAACATACCGACAGTCGGCAACGCGATGGACGGCACCATCCATGGGGGCGGCAAGGGCAAGGGCTACTGCATGGGCTACGGCATGGGCTACGGCATGGGCGGCACCATCCATGGGGGCGGCACCATCCATATGGGCGGCAACGTCGGCAGCGGCTGCACCCACAAGGGCGGCACCATCAATGGGGACCGCCCCATCCTGAGTGACGAGGGCATGGGCGGCACCCGCCATGTGGGCGGCATCGGCGGCATGAGCCCGCCGACCAGGCAGCATGCAACCTTCAAGGCGCCCGCGACTCCGCCAATGGCGTTTGCGCGCCCTCCGAGCACCCCCCCGCCACCGCACATTCTTGCGACGCGTCTCACTTGTCTTTCTAAGAGCGCGCCTATCGCCAAGGCGCCTGTTCAGGCAGGGCCGCCGAGTGCCCATGTGCTTGTTGGCTGGGGGCCGTATCAATAGAGGAGTTGCGCTGCCGTAGAGCTCACAGGATTGCCTGCTGGAGTCCTGGAGCAGACGAGGTGCCCTTGGCAACAGCGCTTAGTGATTTAATGAGAACATGCGGTCACGCATCGAAGTTGAGAGATATTCGAGGATGCCTCGAACGCGAGACAGTTCTTTACCTTTCTCATTCTGCCCCCTCACCCCATTCCCACCTCCCTCACCTCGTCCTCGCCTCCCTCACCGTATTAGCGCCTTCCTCGCCTCATCCTCGATCCCCGAATTGAGAGCTGACGAACCCATTCCCGCCTCCCTCGCCTCATTCCCATCTCCCTGTCATTGAGGCGCTTGGATTTGTCAGATAACACTCCCCGCAACACCGCTATCCAAGATGAGGTTTGAGGGCGACGACGACGACGACCGCGACCACGACCACGACGACGACCACCACGACCACGACAATAATGAACTATCGGGGCCTTGGCTGGTAGTTGCGCGTTTGCGTTGCAACTTGCACATTGCATTGCGGTGCGTTGCCCGAAGGCCACGCGTGTTGCACGTTCCGTTGCATTGCGTTGTTGTTTACAAAATGCATTGCATTGCGTTGCGTTGCCCGAAGGCCACGCGTCTTGCGCATTGAAATGCGTTGCGTTGCCCGGCGGCTGCACATTGGCCATGGAATTAGAACTACATAACAGACGCTCGCATATACTCACACGCCGTCAATGCTGCATTCTCAGACAAGAACGGTTCAGCCGCGGGTATTCTGATTCTGGAGGTGGATCTGTTATTTCACGTTGATTTTTCCCAGAGCATTTCATCATCCAGGCCACAGGGTTCGCTCGCATCTTGCATGTGGCTTGGGTGCTACGCAAAGCTTCAGAGATTGTGTTTATTCGGGGTCGTGGCTTCGACGCATTCGCGGCATTCGGCATTGAGTGCGGAGCCCACCTGGCTGGCCAGTGTGATTCCGATTGGGTTGCTTGCTCTCTTTACTCAACGTTCGACTACCTTCGTCGCGTGGAAGTTCATATCCACTGTGGTTTGATGTTCTGGTTCAAGCCACGTTAGGAGCTCTGTGTTCTCGTTTGTCCAAAGGCCAATACAGACCAGTGCTGTTCTACCGTGGCTGCCACCGCATGGTGACTGGCGCGGCTGCCAGCGACGCTGGCAGCGCGCGCAGTGGCGGCGGCGGTGGCGGGAGGAGGGCGCCCATGGCAAAAGGAGTCAAGCAGGTCCTTCCGCTCAAGCAGGCTCCGAAGATCGTGAAAGTGGGAACGGCGTTCAAGTGCAAGAAGTGCAACGCTTTGTCTAGTAAGAAGAAATGGTTCGAGGTCCAGACCGTTGTTGTCAAAAGCCAGGGCGATAAAGTTGTCGAGCAGCCTGTTGGCGACAAATGCGAGGATTGCGGCGACGTTCACCTGAAGGGTTTCCAGCATCTTTCTTGGGATGACTTCTGCGAGATTGAGACGAAAGACCCCGAGCAGCACCAGGAGATCCAGACCGTGGTGAAGGTGATGAAGGGCGAGAAGAAGCAGTTCGAGGACGTCGAACGTGTCCTCCTACCCCATCTCGGCCTTCTCCAGCAATGTCCTATGCCACTCGCCCTCCCTCGATCATCCTTCCCCCGATGGGGAGAGGATGGGGGGGGGGGGGGGGGATTAGCATTGTCGGGAGGGGAGCGGCGGGTGAGGCGGAATGTGAGGAGTGGGAGGGCATGTCGCCTGATCCCCCCCCCAAGGACTCCCAAGTGCACAAGACGGCCTCCACGACCCTCGAGCTCAAGACCCCCGTGGTCGTACTCACAGCCAAGGACCTCATGAGGGAGATGGAGTGGCAGAGGCTGCCCAAACACATTAAGAGCATCACGACCGTCAAGATGCCGAAACAATCAATGATGATCCCGGGCTCGAGTGCGGGTTCGGCGAGCAGGGCCGATTATGGCGAGCTGTTCTGCTTCCGCGACCCCTCTAGGCCCTTTCGTGAGGGGAACCTGGTGCAGACCATCGGCGTTTCGATCGAGCAGTCCGCGTTGGCTGAGCAGTTCTGGGGTGGCCAAGCATGCAAGATGGCCGAGAAGACCTCCCGCGAGTTAGACGTGCAGCATGGCTTGAACGGCGTGGCCGGCACTTACCACACCATGCAGACCCTCGACGAGTTTAAGAAGACAAGGGAGGTGAAGAAGCTACCGCGCTCGAACCTCGGCGCTGAGGGTGAGACGGCGGGAGGAGGAACGGTCATCGTCGAGGACGGCGTCAACTCTGAGGACGAGGATGTGAAGTTGGAGGCCGCCGTCGACGCGAGTGCCCTGGCTCAGTCGCCCGACGGGGCCTCGCAGATTGACGACAATACCTTCGCTGAGCTGGTCAACGATGCCCGAGCGAACCTGAAACGGTCATCCTCCTTGTGCACCATGCCTTATTACGACGGCGATATTGACGCGGGCGGCTCCGCGGCCAAGACATCCCGCAGGTCTGGTGCAAGCGCTGGAGATCCATCCCCAGGTAAGACCCCTTCATGGTGCGGCCAGTCGGCAGCGGGCACCGCCTTCGGCGACGGAGACGAAGTGCAGGACTTCAAGTTGGAAGGCTCTCGGGCCGTTTTTGGAATATAGATGCAGGGTTCTTTGAGACATGGAGGTTTGGAAATGCAGCGCTCTGAGAATAACGGGAAGACCTGGGTAGGATAAGATTAGCGCGAGGAGCGCTTGGGGAGGAGGAAAATACTACTGAGGTAGATAGAAAAAGGGGGAGGGATGAGGTTCAGGAGGAGGGTAGTGGAGGATGGCGACGACGATGGGGGGCAACGGAGAGGGCGAGGGCCACGGGGAGGAGGATGGGGGGGCAGGAGGGCGGCGGACTTCAAACTTTTAGTTGATTTGCGTCGGCTGTGTTTTGGGTTCCTCCCTGCGCGCGGGGGGGGGGGGCAGCGGGGTCGCGGGGCCAGGATGGCAGTGAAGGACAGCACGCAATGATTCGTGCGTGCCACTTCCCATTTCTACCCGTCCTAGCCGTGCCAGTTTGGGCCCCCGTCTCTCCCCAGCCTTCCTGATATTCTCATTCGCACGCGTGGTTCCCATACCTCCTCAGGGGAGGCGCTCTACCAGAGGAAGCTCAGCCGCTTGCCGTTGACGAGGATGATGGCGGAGGACATCAAGGGGGGCTGGGGCCGCGCAGTCGGGGGCGCCGAGAAAGCCATGAAAAGGTTGGCGTCCGAGGATGAGCACAAGGTGATTGGCGCCAAACTCCAGGACCACATTGATCTTGCCAATGAATGCTTGCAACTGCTGCCCGCGTCGTTACCGACCCTCCCTCGCGAGAAGGTGCTCAGAATTGCGGCGAACCTGAAGGCCAAAGGCGTTGCCATCGCGATTTCTACCCAGATCTCTTTGACAGTGAAGGAGGCGGGCCATATCATCCAGATGTACATTGAGCCCACGAGACTCCACGTAACGGATCAGCAGGTGGGCTCGTTGCTTCGGACTCTCTTACCCTTCACTCTTGAGGTCAATGAGGTTTTCAACCCAGAGCACCCGAGGCTCGCCGCGATCGAGGTCGCCGATGAGTCGAAGTTTGACACGTGGACGAAAGTTGTCTTGACATCTTTCATCGTTCCCCGCATCTACGACGGAAAGGAGTACAGCAAGCACGTTCAGTTCTTCTTTCAGGCACTCGGCAAGCACTTCAAGCAGCTCGACAAGCTGGATCTCAACGGGCCCGAGGCTCAAATGGTCAGCGAGGTCGAAGACATCAACACAGTATTCGATTGTCTATCAGGGGGGCTCGACCAGGCAGCGGCAAACTCCAGCATAATCAAAGAGTTCATCGATGCCTCGAAGACTGAGGGCTCGGGGTGGTGGTTGTCAGTGGCCAGCGCGTGGATGCGCACGAACTTCTACAAGGAGCAGCTGGAGAAGATCCAGCGCGACATGCCCTTCATGGAGCCCGTGATGGAGGAAATCTGCAAGATCAACGAGAAGCTGAACAACACAAGCAGCTCGGTCATTGGACAGGGCTTGAAAGACGCTGCGAAGCTATTGACCGACTATGCGGATCACGCTGGCGATTGGTTGAAGCCGTTCGCAGAGAGCATCAATGGGAAAGCGCAGGCATGGTTCGACATGATCGTCAACGTGGAGATGCTGTTTGACTACAGCGTGGACAGCGTGCAGGACGCCAAGATGACCGAGGCCAAGGAGGTTACAACACAGGCGGTGCAGGAGATCGTGCACGAGCTGAGCTTAGCTTTCCCGATGGGCGAATGGACGCACGACATGACTGCGAGGTTGGGATCTCTGCTGAAAAGTGCTGCCGAGGCGAGGTTCACCAAGAAGTTCGAAGCTGTTTTCGTCGGCATCAATGGCGCCCTCGATTCCTCCAACGCCCCGCCAGAAGATAGTCACCATCAGTTAGCCTCTGTGCTTGTCGAGGCGAGGGTCACCGAGCATTTCTTCCAGACCGAGACCCAGGGCATACTCAAGGATTGCATCGTCAAGGTCAGCAGCATGAGGGTCGAGCTTCTGGATTTGAAGGTGCACCATTTTTTTGATTCGATTGTCGAGACGTTGCCTTTCTACTACGGCACCGACCTGGTCCATGAGAAGACGATCATCCAAGCCATCCAGTCCGCGTTGACGTGCATGCATGAAACCAAACTCGCTTCAGACTACTACAACAACGCGGATGGCTGGGACCCAACGTGGGAGAAGCGCGCTGAGACGTTGTCGCGCGCGGGGCTTCATCTACGTAAGATCCTCGCCAAGTTGAAGTTCTACCAGGAGCCGCAGGGATCCCAGCCCTCTGAAAGCAATGCGCCGGTGTGCCAGGACCTGGCCGACCACCTTCTGTTGGCCATGGACAGGTCCACGTCCATGCTGAATACATTGGTGGAGAAGGGCAGCGAGTACACAGTCGAGGACAATCTCACGAGTGTGATAGATATGAATCGGTACTAGTTGGGTGATGCTGCTGGCGGCGATGCGCACTGGCTCACCTCAGAGAAGCCGCTTGCGGAGTGGACCGAGTGGGAGGAGCTGCACGCGAAGTTCGCGACAGGCTTCGCGAAGCTACCCGCAGGCAAGATGAAGGCCGCAATCGAGGAGTGCAAGGAGAAGCTCAAAAACACACAGAAGCTGGAGACCATGTTCAGCATCGATCTCAAGAGCAAGAACATGGCTGATGACATCAAGGCTGCCAGCACTACGAAGCTCACCTGCGCGATGATCAATGAGGTCATGAAGATTAAGAAGGGTAGGGACAAGGACGTGGACAAGAGACGCGATGCTGTCCGCCAGGCGATCTTGCAGCTGCGGGAGGTGCACGGGCTGAAGAAGGGCGATGACTACACCCCGTACCTGCCGAAGGTCTTGGTCGTCGAGGCCGAGTCGGTTGTGGCGAAGAAGCGGGTCAAATGAGAGACGGTGCTCTCAGCGGCTGGCCATTTTGGCCAAGACAAGCCGCCGCCCTGTCCATAGATAGATCTATGGCGCGTGGAGAAACGAGAAATCAATGTGATCTGATGTCTTTTCGCAGGTTTGCCAACGTCTTCTAACGCATGACCCACTCCAATCATGATCGCCTGGCTGGCCTGGCGAATCAATCTTTCAGGACGGGCCCAAAGTTCGAGAGTAGACGGTGCGAGGCACATGCGTTGCGGTTGAAGTTCCACCCCCATCCCCGCGGTAAAAGCAACAGGGGGCTAAACGCATGAACACGTGTATATAATTGCAGCTGTTGCTATTCCGGCCCCGTCTTAGTCTTGCCTAGTGTCTGCCCTCCCCTGCTGCATTATTCCCCCTTCTGCTCCCCGTAAGTACCCCTCCCTCCCTCACTCCCTCCCCCGCTCCTCCGCCCCCCCTGCCTGCCCCCTTGCCGCAGCCCCTCCTGCTCTCGCCTCGCCCTCCCGCTCGCGTGGCCATTTTGGCCAGAAGATTTGCGCAACCGTGCTTCGTAATGACACGGCCTTGCGCGAATGGCTCGGTGCGCGCGCGGCTCTTGCGCGCTACGTGGGGTCGGCATGCGAAGAGTGCCCCTCGCGCAGCCTGGTTGGATCGACGATGCTGGAAGTGTTATGGGCTTGCATGTGGATGGCGCGCGCCCTGCGTGCACGCGCGTTGTTGCGCGTCCACGCGCGGGTGCTTCAGAGCACGCGTGCCAGTCATGCTTCGGGAGTGCTCGCCGCAGACGTTGCCGCGCATGCGCGGCCCGACTCGCGCTGCCAGGCGGACGTGGCTGACCAGACGCGGCCCGCTGAGCGCAGCCGCCTAGATGCTACCACTTCGGCGCGCGCACGACTGGAAATTTCATTGCCCGAAAAAAACCTGCACTCCATGCGCGCGCGAGGAATCGGCGTGAGCGAAAGCACTGCCACATGTGCTGATCTTGCTGCTGCGCTGAATGGGCCCGCTCGGCAACGAAGCATGCGGACGACAATTGCGGGCGGCATGCGCCCCAACGGGCGCGGCGACCTTGCTTTTGCCGCGCTTGCGTCGCCGACAATGGGTTCGCGAGTTGATGCGATCAGCACGCCCTGCCGCCTATGCGCGTCCAACCTGCGCGCGCCTTGCTAAATGCGGCTGGGTCGCCTTGGTCAAAAAGGCGCTGCCACGTGGGCAGCCGACCCCGATCGGGTGAATGGGCGGATGGGGATGGCACGCACGGGACAAGCGCATGGGGAGCAACGCAACAGAAGCTACAGGGGTGCATGGACGTGGCCAGAGGCGCTCAGCAAGGTGCTCGCCCTCGGTCTGGCGCCGCTGAAGGAGCTCGCCAATGATGCGACGCCCCCGTGGCGTCGCCCAAATGGCGTGGTCGCGCTGGAAAAGGCGAAGAGACACATTCGTTTTCACGCGGCGAAAGATAACATCGCCGCCCAGAATATGTGGCCTTGGCAATGCCCACTGGGCACGGCAATGTATTTGGCGTGGTGGCGCCTTCCGCGAATCGTGCCTGCGCGGACGTTGCCGATTGACCAATGATGGCTGGGCCATTCTAAGCAGGATCTCAGCTGCGTAGACGCGGCCCTGTTGACGTTGTCCAGGTGATGCGGTACACCCCCGAGATGGGGGGCCGCCGCGTGGAGATAGCCGAATGGACTTGGCCGCGGGAGCGTGGCTCCTCATGTGCCGTCGAACTGAAAGTTCCCACTCGGTGACGCATGATTGCGTATTCCTGCTAGGTGTCTCTGAAGGGTTCGCGACGCTGGACAGGTGCGCGCTCTTTGCCTTGCCCTGCAACATATGCAGTCAGGCAAGCATCTGGAAAGCTTGTGCGCTCGAGATGAGCGCAAGGAGCTCGTCGTGCCCGCCTGTGGCCATGCTCGAAATTGTCCTCAGAGGACAACTGCGCGGCTGGGTCTAGGTGGGGGGGGGAATTTTTCGTACAACTTTGATGGGGGGGCTGAGGACAATTTTTGGCCAACTTTTGGGCAACTTAATTATTTCCAGGAATCCGAGGTTCTCAAGCGCCAGGCAAACCTCAAGTGTCGTGCTTCGTTTGGAAAACACAAATAAGGAGGAGGCACGCGAGAAGGGAAACCTTAGCCAAGACAGGCTCAGCGACGCGGCCAGCTACAGCTTCGGCCGGCAGATGGCAGGGCCCCAGCACTTCACGGACATCCGGCGCAATGTGGCCGTCCTAGAGGCACCAGGGCCCCGTAAATTGGGATTTGGACAGACCAGGACGATGGCACGCACGAGAAAGTTGCAGCCGTTGGCCGGAATTTGAAGCCAGCCTGGGGTCTGAGGTGGCCTAGCGCTGGTTCCAGCCAGCAGGAAGGGCGGAAATGGTTCGAGGAGTTCTCCACTTTCTGGTGCCCTGGAGGTGTGCGATGATGCCGGGGCGAGCGTGTATAACGCCTTCGCCGTCAGCGGAGTGGACGCCGTGGGGGCTGAGCCAGGCCCCCTGCTCCTGCTCCCTCCTTCCCGCTGCCGCCCAAGGAGGAGGTTGGCTCTTCAGGGTGAGGATGACTTCTCCCCCCTTCTAAGCTGTGCTCCCTCCCCCTCGCTTCGCTCCTCGCCCTCCTCGTCACGCAGTCAACAAAAGAGCGCGTCCCCCTCGCAGCGTCACAAACAAATGTTCCGAAAGTTTCGCAGAACAGGGAAGCCCCATCATCTTGCGGCAGCAGGGGCCAGACCCCGCCCAGTGGGATGTCTAAATCCGCGCGTGCTTACGTCGTGAGGTCAAAGTACCCAGTGCTAGACATGCAATGTCATATGACTGGGTGGATTATCCCGGATGCTGTGATCCCGGATCTTTGATCCGACTGTTCTTGATTCAACCCGCTAGGGCTCCAGGGGGGGCGGGAGGGCCAGCTCAGATGGGGTCGGGAGAGGGGTCATCCCCCGCCCGCCCGCTCACGCTGAAGTAGCGGACGAAGTTCGTATCATGTTGACGCCCCCATACAACGTCACGACGAAGCGTCAAATCGGGCATGTCCCTTTACAGGAGGAAAATGCAAGAATAGTTACGGTGTTTCGTTTTTTGTATGTTTGCTCATGGTTTGACCATGTTTCATGCGTCTTCCCAAAATCCCTGTAGGATGACGCGCCCGACATCAACGTAATTAGCGTTTTCTCTTGCACCGCGCGGCGAGCGCCGAGGCCTTGTGAACCCGGCGTCGTGACAGGCGGAGCTTTGCAGAAGAGGGCCTCTTCTTGGCCACAGTGGCCCCGCGGCGCACGGTGCCTGGCGTACTTGCACGGCGCGCCGCGCCCTCGGCTGCGGAGGCTTCCAGCGCTCATGCCAGTCCAGGACTTTCCTCCTCCCCGTCACGCCAGGCGTCTCGGCGCGGGTGGCCCCGGCGGCTTGCTCGAGCCTCACCCGCGCTCATACGGCCCAGAATCTCGACAGTCTCCTGAACCTTGATGCGCAGACGGATGGAGTGTGGATGGGTTTGAAAGTCAAGCTTCGCGCGAGGTGTTGTCTCCAAGACGTGTTTGCATGAAGTTGTTATGCTTGTGGTTGGAAGGAGTTGGCCTGGTGTGACGGAGTCGGCCCTTTGCCGCCCCATGGGGTTCCACACGCACCGTGGCCTTTGGAATCCCAGAAGGTCCCACTCGCCGCTCTCACCCCTGAGGGTTACACACACAAACATAAACAAACACAAACACACATACACACACGCACACGCACACGCACACACACACACATGGGGTTCTACACACATATGATTCCGCACACACACACACACATGCACGGACACATACACACACACACACACACACACACACACACACACGCACGCACACACACACAGACGCACGCACGCACACGCACAGGCACACACACACGCAGGCACACACGCACGCACGCACTCATCCACGCACGCACTACTTGGCGCCGCGGCCTCGCGCGCAGCGACGAGGCGCGGAAATTCAAGCCGAGAGACCTGCAGAGACCGCGTGCGGCCGCCCAGAAGGTGGGCCAGAGATCCAGCAATGGATCATCCGTGCCATCCGCATGCCCGTGCATGAACAGCGGGGGGGGGGCGAATATACGAAAGTATTACCAGAGCGAGCAACGGCAACTGGAGGCGCAGAGCAGCCCGAACGGACGCGGACGAGGAACGGGGCAGCCTGCGAGCAAGGCAGCAGACGACCAGTGGGAATGTGGTGTAAAGGCCAGCGCGCGTAGGCAGTAAGTGGGGAAGCACACAGGCCGGCAGCCTTTGGACACACACACACAGACACACACACACACACGAATATACACGACCGGGCTTCACATTTAGAAGCACGCACGCACACACACACACACACACACACGCACACACACACACTCACACACACATGCACACACTCACACACACACACACGCACACACACACGCAAACACACACACACACACACACGCACACGCACACGTACGCGCACACACACACACACACACACACAGAAGCACGCATGCACGTTTCCCACTGCTATGGGTATCTGCCCAGGTCCACATAAAGACCCACACACCCATTTTTGCCTCCGACCCGCAAGTGACTGCAACTGTCGGGAACACGATGCGGGGTCACTCTCGAATCGAATTAGCTTCCGTGCGAAGCGGCGCAGCAGTTCTGGAACGCCCGAATGCCGAACGCAGGCAGGCGGCACAGGAGCAGAAAAGCCAGGCAGTACAAGAAACGGTGGCGCGGAAAGGCAAACGCCAACAACCGCCACGACCGATGAGGGAGGAATAAGAGAAGTGGGGGCAACCGCTGAGCAGCGCCAGATTGTTGTCCGGCCGTGGCGAAATCCAAAGCGAAAAGCAGCAGAGAGAGCCACTGGCAGGCGAAGCCACATGGCGGGGGCACAGACGGCCGAAGCCGACCAGGGTATACTTCGGCCCAATGAAAGTTCCTTGAATTTCCGTCATGTCGCTCGCTAGCGGAAGCCGACGGAAGTAAAACGAGGCAGAAGACGGCAGAAGGCCGTTGGAAGGCTTGCGGAAGACAGCGGAAGTAAATGACGTCTTGTCCGAACCCCCTTACCACCTGTAGAAGCCTAGCAATGTAGTCTTCTGCCGTGGGCCGGGCGGGATCCCGCCTTTTGCTCCCCTTTAATATGATAATTTTAGTTCAGCTGGACTAAAATCCCACCCATTAAATATAGGGTAAACAATTATCCCGGGTCGTCCACGGATCCCGCCATGCTGGGGTCGTTTCGAAGTAGGATGGGGCTCCGAAGTTGCAGCCTATTCTTGGCATGTCAGGGTCATCTTGAGATCATCTTGAGATCATATCTCGGTCATGCTTGGATCGCGCAGCCGTCGTGTTCATTCTGGGGCCACCCTGGGCGTGCGTGGATCCATCTTGTTGCAATCGGGCCAACTCGGCGTCACTCGTGGCTCTTGTGTTCGGTCATCTTCGAGTCGGCCTGGGACGGTCCAGAATCCATGGCGGGATCGTGTTGGGGTAGCGTCATCCCAGGATCGTCTGGACGTTACCGTCTGTGGCCTCAGGCCTTCTTGGAACCATTTTGCGGTCATGGGGGCGTCTTGGGATCTCGCGCGCGCGAGCGCGGAGCACGCGCACGCGACAACTCATGTCCCCGATGGGCGTGCACACATATGTTTCTTGTTGCGAGTTTCCCAGGAAGCTCTTGTTGGAACCAAGTAGGGCGGCAGACAAAGCAACAGAGCAGGCGAAGAAAGACGACAAGGACAGAGAGGTGGCTGGGAGACCCAGCGACACCAGCCGCAACCAGCCATTGAGCTGTAGCACGGCACCAGCAGGCCGTGCCAGGTGAAGGCGAAGCGCGGAAACGACCAACCCGCCGAGGGGGCGCAGCACATGAGTACTACCAGAAAGGGCGAGGAGCAGGAAGCGGAGGGAGAGGTGGCGCACAGACTACACAGACACATGGAGCTCCACTCACATAAGGTCCAACATTCGTGTGGTTACAGACGCGCACGCGCATATCTGACTCCGCATAGCCGAAGTCCCGTACACACGTGAGGACAGACGAGCATTCGGGCTTCCACATGCCCAGGATGTCATTCACACCCGCGCATGTGTTTCATTCACGTGGGGTTCCCTCCGCGCACGTGGGGCTCCACGCTGGCAGCGCGAACGAGCTGTTGTTTGGGAGGACATGCGCTGGCATCTTGAAGCGCATGATCGTAAGACACCGACGTCTTGACGGTAGCACGGTGTGTACGCCATGTGGCGTTCGAGTCTGGCATGCGCCTGCTATCCCAGCACGATGTGCAACCCCAGAAATTTCAGCACGTGATTGTCGCTCTCTTTGGGCCCCGTCGAACTCAGAAGTCTAAGGACGTGGCCATACAAAGCTTCAGACATTTAAATCGGATGGGGTGCTAAATGTGAGTGATGGTTGAAGTTTCCGCGGCCATTGTCCAAAAGATGTGTAGCCCTAGCGCGTATACGGATGGAGGGCAATCTGTTTTGATGTGGTGCTCGCCAGGTGCGTCTTGAAAGCATATGGCCATAAAGTTTGTAATCTCAGTGGTTACCTTGATGGATGGCGGCTCCTTTGAAGCATCTGGCGCTCGCTTGGGAGTTCCTTCCATCTTATTCGATCAGACCTTGAAGTTGCAGACTGTACCACACATGGTGGGTGGTCCCTTTGAATGTCCAACCTCTCTCGGTTGAAAGCCACCAGGTTTCTAGCACTAAGCGCTACACGGGTGTCGGGCTGTTCAAAGTCGAGACCCAAATCCCAAGCATACGTGGCGTGGCCAAAGGAGTATCACGCCTCCAGCTCCCCCAGGCCATGGGCCGGTGGCAGGCCCGGGGGCCCTGATCTACCCAACGGGCGCTAACCGCACTGAAGAAGTATGTGGGCGCGGGCTGAAGTTCTGGCCGGCCGGCATCAAACTGGACATGTTGCGGTCGGCGTTCGTCGACGTCGCGCATGCGCATGGATTGCCGAGGAGGGTCGGGACGGGAGGGTGGGATGCAGCGTCCGCGGGGCGCGTTGGTTTTCTCCTCGCGCGCCCCGAGGCCCGAACGGCGGGCGCGCGTGGCCTGCCCGGCGGAGCGGGTCAGAGAATTCGGCGTTTGGGGGCGGCGCCACCCCCACCGCATGGAGGAGAAGGAGGGAAGAGGAGGGAGGCGGAGGAGGAGGAGGAAGAAGAGGAGGAGGAGGAGGAGGAGGAGGAGGAGGGGGGAGGGGAGGGGGAGGGGGGGAGGGGGAGGAGGAGGAGGCGGAGGAGGAGGAGGAGGAGGAGGAGGAGGAGGACAGGGAGGAGGAGGGAGGAGGAGGAGGAGGAGGAGGACAGGGAGGAGGAGGAGGAGGAGGAGGAGGAGAAGGAGGAGGTGGAGGAGGAGGAGGAGGAGAAGAGGAGGAGGAGGAGGAGGAGAAGAGGAGGAGGAGAAGGGGAGGAGGAGGTGAAGGGGAGGAGGGAGGAGGAGGAGGAGGAGGAGGAGGAGAGGAGGAGGAGGGGGAGAAAGAGGATTGTCCCCTTCCTCCGCGAGCAGGGGTCAGGTCGAGCCCTCTGCATCGGGCCCTCCCCCACGGTCCCCTGGGGGACGCCCCAGGCGGCCTTTGCTGAGTGCAAGGGGCCCGCATGCGCATCCTTCGCAGAGGCCCAGCTGCCTTGCCCACAGCAGGGGCCCGCCTCCGATGCGGTCATCCTTGTCCTTACATTTCTCCTCCACCTTCTCCTCCTCCTCCTCGCGATGATTCACGATGTTTGGGTGGGCCTTGGACATGTACAGCGCATGCACGAATCTAGGTGTTGGAATACTCTGCTTGATGATTGCTCGTGCCAGACATCGCTGGCTGAAAGTTCGTGGACCCATTGCGGCCACCCTGGCGGTCTTGCTCGACCTGAAGGTGGTGCCGACATCGCCCGTAGATTGGCAGTTCCTTGATGACCAAGCTGAGATTGACTGACGACATCTTCCCTTGCACTCTGGTGGCAGGCTCTCCAGAAAGTTTGCGGCGAGCTGTCCTGGAGCGGTGATGTCAGACAGTATCCAGGATCAAGTTCGGATGAAGGAAGTGGTTTCAGAGAAGGCGTGGCAGAAGAAGGCTCTTTTGGGTCTGAGGGAATGCTGCGAAACGGTTTGTCGGCTGGGTTGTGGATGGGGAGCATGTTTCCCAGGCCGGCTACGAGTCGGCCACCAGAGGTGTGTGCCCGTGCATGTGCTACTGAGATTGTTGCGCACAGGTGTTGGTCTGGCAGTTGCAATTCCGAGCTGCCAGATTTTGCCATCACGCGTTCGGATAATCTCATTCCCCAGGCTCTGAGTGAACCCAAACATTCTAGTTTTTGGATGCGTGGCTTGCCTTCCTTGACAACCTCCTCTGGGCGTTTAATTTCGCCACCTAAGCTGGTGTGGGACTGGGGAAGGCTTGGTGACGGAGCCAAGGTCAGGGGGGGAGTTTAGGAGATTGACGGTTCAGGTGGTAAACATCATGACGATTGAAGGTTTCACAGGTGTGAGTGGGTCATCGTTGACGGTGTAGTTAGCAGCTAGGGGTATTTTGAACTTTTAGGTCCAGAGTGTTGGACGTGTTGATTTGTTGGATGTATTCCAGTTGGCTGCCCGATCGACGGGCGATGTGCGAATTTATTGCGGTAGCATTGCCGTCGTGAAAAGAACTGGGAAATCTTTACAAAGTAAAACGAAGTCCGCTATGTTCGATTATTGGGTTATGTATCATGGTGTGTTCAGGGCCCGTGGCGGCTCAATCGACGTTCGACGGACGAAAGGTCACCCCACACAGACCCAGAGTTTTGATATGTGTCTGAGCGACGCCGAAGTTTATTTAAAGAAGGGCGTTGATTGCATGGCGGGGAAAGCTGCGGATGCTGGCCAGGTGTCAGATGCCCAGGCCAAGGCCACGTTCGAGGCCGATGATCGGGCTGTCCAGGTTGTGGAACGCCTCCTCGCTGTCCAGAGGGAGGTGGTCTTTATTTCTCAGCGTGGAAAACATACCCGTATCCCGCACTCCCGCACTGAGGGCGCGTGTTTCAGTCAGGATGTGCGTCTGTGCCGTTTGCGCGATGCGCACCGTAATGTTTCTGTGTGCATCTGCCTGTTTCAAGGCAAGCTCTGCGCTCGAAAGTTTAGCAGCAGAGGTGCTCTGTCCGAGTTTGGGCTGTCTCCTCGCAAGCCACGTGATGCACTGCAGCAAGACATTAAGCCCTCCCAGTGCGGGCACAGAACCCGATGGCTAGAGAGCCAGCCCCGCCTCGTGATGATATGGGACCGTCGAACTTGGAAGGGGCATGCGCGATGGATCATCCTGTTGCGAAATTCTTCACATGTCGGCAACTTACAGGGGTGTCTTGTTTTGTGAAGTCTGAGGGTGTCATTGTACTGAAGTGCCCCGTGAACGGAAGGGGCCCTGTAAAGAGCCCAGCCGTGCCGGGAAAGATGTTCTGAGTCGCCTCAAGAGGGGTTTTCCGCCGAAGTCTGGGGCAACCTCCCCGAGGTTTGATTATGTTTTGTCTAGCGTGCCCCGCCCAGCAGCAGGCCACCACGCACGATGATAGAACATATAAAATAGAATCCTGCGCCGCCTCTTCCTCCTCCTCCTCCCTGTCCGCCTCCTCCTCCTCCTTCCCCTCGTCCTCCACCTCCCCTAGGCCCCGCGGGGAGGCGGCTCTTTACGGCGCAGAGTGTGGCGGACGGACTGGGCGAGACCTACAGCAGGGAGCACGACGCGGAGTTCAAGCTGTGCGCCCAGTTCTGCGAGCGCATCGGCGCCGGGTCGGGCACCTCCGCGCGCTGGCGCGGCAGGGCCGTGCTCTTCTTGGAGGCGGGCCTGGTCGAGACCACGGGCGGCTCTCCCTGCTCGGCCCACCTCCGCTCCAGACCGGTCCCCCGGACCCCGTTCTGGGTCCACCCGGATCCGTTGCTCGAGGCGGATCCAGCCGAGGCGGCAAGGAGCTTGCCTGCAGAGAGCCCAACCCTGAGATCCGACGTCACGGAGCAAGTCCAACCTCGGAACAAAAAACATAGAACAGCAAAAGAGAGCTGCCGGAGCCCTGGACCCCATCTTTCTCTGCTGCATTCTTCGAGCCGGGTCGATCCGTGAGGGTCCAGGGGCACGATACAGGGCAAAGCCGCGCGTGGCAGTGAACAAAAGCGCGGCACCAGGATCTCAGGGAGGAGGGGCGAGAAACGCCAGGGAGGGTCCCCCGTCGTCTCGGCGGGACCTCCTCCGATCCTCAGCAAGAAGCCGCTGTGCGCCAGCTGCTCCGACGTGTGCCGGGTGCAGCTGCCGAGGCTGCTGCCCGGGCTGCGCCTGGAGGTGGTCGTGGACGAGGCGTCTGCGGAGGTGGGCGTCTGCGGAGGGAGAGAAACGGAGCAGGCAGAAAAAGATGGCCTCGCTCCTCCTCCCCCGTTCCCCTCCCCTCAGCAGTTACTCCGTGCGAGAACTGCACTCCATGTGAGAGCGACTCGCCTTTGTCCCCGGATGCTGTCCGAGCGGGGCAGCTTTGATCGCGCATGCCACGCTCGAGCGCTTGAGACTTCAGAATGGTGGCTCTGAACACATGCGCTTCCAGTGGGAACTTCCTCAGAGTTCTAGCACTGTGTTCCCGCTGCAGCGCTGGCCTCGCTTTGACATCGACGCTCTGCGCACGTCGTGCCGGCCAGCGCTCTCGCCCCCAGCGCGCGCGTCGACTCTGGATCCGAGGCCTTCCTCGTCGTTGTCGCCCCGCTCCGCTCCCCTCCTCTCCCTCCCCCATGGCCCGCCAGCTCCTCCCGCTCCTCCTGGTTCCTGCTCCTGCTGCTGCTCTTCCTCCGCATCCCCCATTCTTCCTAATCCTCATCCTCTTCCTCCTGCTCATCCGGATGGAACGGAACACGATGATGTCTTTCATGGGGGTTCTAGATCTGCCATCACACCTGTCGGCGGAGGACGAGAATGAGGGGGAGGGGAGGAGAAGCAGCAACGAGAGGATATGGAGTAAGGAGTGAAGAGTGGCACAAGAGAGGTGGCGAAGCAGGAAATACATGAGCAGAGGATGAGGACGAAAGGAGGGGAATAAGAGGAGGAAGAGGGGAGGAAGAGGAGGAGAGGAGAGAGAGATAGCGAAGATAACCTTCAGCATGCTGTAATTGGCAACACGGGTGGATGCTTCGCCTTTCTCCGCCGTTTATTGACATGTTTCTCTCTGTCTCTCTCTCTCTCTGTATCTGTCTCTGTCTCTTTTTTTTTTCTCTCTCTCTCTCTCTCTCTCTCTCACCGTATCTATAAAAGAGAGAGAGAGAGAGCAAACAAAGAAAACACAGCAATAACAACAACAACCACAGCAACAACAACAGCAACAACAACAACAACAACAACTCACGCGTCACGCTTCGCGTGTCTCCACCAGCCCGTTCAGGAACCATGCTCATGAGAGCTGACGGGAAGCGGGACGAAGAGACACATATAGTGAAACAAAGTTCGGCTGATCTGTGGGGAACGAAGGCGAGGGGTGGAGGAGGAAGATGAGGAGGAGGAGGAGGAGGAGGAGGAGGCAACCCGCCTCTTGGGGCCATCGTGGGACGCTCTTGGGGCGCTCTTGAACGCTCCTGGGGCCGTCTTAGGGTCCTCTTGGGGTCCTCTTGGGAGCCCTGGAGGGCCTCTTGAGGCCATATGCGAGGCTATCGATCGAAGGAGGGGGGGTCCTAAATTTGCCTCCCCCTAGGGCCATCAACATCGCCTCGTGGGGCGCTCTTGCGGCCTCAAAGGCGCATCGGAAACGAAACGGCAAGAAGGCACACATCAATGCTTATTTCGGCGTTTGAAGAAAACTGGCCTCTTGGGGAGGTCTTTGGGGGGGTCCGAGAGCACTTGGAACCGTCGTGTGGCCCTCGCCGGGCCTCTTGGAGGTATGTCGAGAGCTATCTTGAACCATCTTCGGTTATTTTGAGCCGCTTTGGAGGCCATCGTGGAGCGTCGGAAGCCCTCTTGGAGCCATCTTGGGCCACCTTGGACGCTCTCGCCCTTCATAACCCCCGCCGAAAAAAAAACGGTGAGGGGAGGGGGAGGGTACCTCTCCCCGAAGGGAACAGGGCGTTTGAAGAGGAAAGGAAGAACTCGTTTGTCCACCCACGCCAAAAGGGATGACCTTCCCCATCCTCCCACTCCTCCCGCTCAACAATTACTCAATATGAATACTACTCTCCCTCTTCCCCTGATGACGTCTTGGGAGTAGCCGCCCCCCCCGCGTACTGTTTTTTTACACACAGGTTTCCCCGGAGTTGGGGTTTCGCCTGCATTTTTTTCCAAAGTGCTGCTCTCGCTGAGGCGCCGGCCTCATTTTCGGGCCCCGCTCGTTCCGAATCGCGCTCCCGCTGCAGCGTGGGTCTCATTTTCGGATCGGTGTTTTGCCTCCGTCGTTCAGGAGGGCGTTCTCGCCCTAGCGCGGGCCTCTTTCTCGCGCGCACATCCGCCCGCCACCACCGCGCCGCGCCCCGGCCCGCCCACCGCCACTTCCACCCACCAACGCACGCACGCACGCACGCGCACCGCCACCACCACCCCACTACCCCACCCACCACCACCACGCTACACCGCGTCACACCACATCACACGCGCGCGCACACAGACACGCACGCACACACACACACACACACACACACACGCACGCACACGCACGCACACGCACACGCACACGCACACGCACACGCACACGCACACGCACGCACGCACACACACACGCACACACACACGCACACACACACACACACCACCACCACCACCGCCACCACCACCACCGCATCACGCACGCACGCACCTGGCCCACCACCCAAACCACCAAGACGCCACACCACGTCACACCACAGCACACGCGCACACACGCACACACACACACACACACCACCACCACCACACCACCACAACAACCCACCACACCACCACCACCACCACCACCACACCACCACCACCACCACAACCACAACCACGCACACACGCACGCACGCACGCGCACCACCACCCACTACGCACGCGCGCGCGGAGCCACAGGTCCGCTACGACACGCGTCCGCGGATAGAGAAAATCAGCGCCATGGTAAGGGATGGGAGGGAGGGGTAGGACGTCAGATATGACGCGAGCGTACACAGCTTGTCCTTCCCCCTCCTCATACTCCCCCCATGCCTCCCATCCTCCCCATCGTCCCCCCCCTCATCCTTCCCCCTCCTCCACATCGCTCTCCCTCATCCTCCCACTCCTCCCCCTCATCCTTCCTCCCATTCCTCCCATTCCGCCCCCTCATCCTTCCCCTTGCTAAGACCCCACCCCAGGACCAGACGGTCATCCAGAGTTTTTCGTCGACGGTCTTGGGGGGGCATGGCGGGGCTTCTCCTGGGAGGCAGAACATTGGCACCTTCACAACGCGATGTGGTGGAAGCTCGGCGGTAGCCGTGGCCACGGGGCGCATCCGGGAAGCCCCCAAACGGGGCGAAGAACACCCCACTCGACCCTCGAATTTCGAGGGTAGGACTAACCCAGGGCCGTCCCTCCTCCCCCTCCTCCCTGCCCAAATCGGGGTCGTCGGAGAGGGGGTACGGACAAGCTAGGTGCGATCGCGTCATATCTGACATCCTACCCCTCCCTCCCATCCCTTACCATGGCGTAGATCCCCTCTCTACTCGCACAGTCGGATGTCGAGCAGGGCAATGATCCCGAAATGGTACGCGATGCATTGTAGAGCATGGCATGGCATGGCGTAGAAGAGCACCGCAAAGCGTAGTATGTCACAGCATGGCGTAGCGTGGCGTAGTGAATAATTTCATCACAAAGCTTTGCAACGCAAAGCATGGCATCGCACAGCGGCCCCGAACAGAACATTGCATAGCATGGCGTTGAAGATCAAAGCGTAGCATGGCATAGCACAACGTAGCACTTAGGCACTGCATATCACAGCTTCAGCTGAAGGCATGGCATCGCGCAGCGGAACGCAACCTAGCATTGCATTGCATGCCGTGGCATGGCACGGGAAATGACGCCAGCGCTGCAGCGGGAGCACGATTCGGAACGAGCGTAAGCGCGGAAATGAGGCCAGCGCTGAAGCGGGAGCACGATTCGGAACGAGCGGAAGCACGGAAATGTGGCCAGCGCTGCAGCGGGAGCGCGATTCCGAACGAGCGGGGCCCGAAAATGAGGCCGGCGCCTCAGCGAGAGCAGCATTTTGAAAAACAATGCAGGCGAAAACCCAACTCCGGGGAATCCTGTGTGTAAAAAACAGTACGCCGGGGGGGGCGAACACTCCCAACCCGTCATCAGGGGAAGGAGGAGAGTAGTATTCATATTGAGTAATTGTCTACGGAGGTGTGGATCTCGTGACGGGCCATGAAGTCTCCCCGATCTCATGCCCCCCCCTCTTCCTTCGTCCAACGGTCGCACGCCCCCCCCCCCTCGTCCGCGCATACGCCTCGAGTCATGATGCGCCGACCCCCCTCTTCCTGCCCCCCCCGTCGGCGCACCCGACCACACTCCGCCTCGATGCCGTCGGCGCGCCAAGGACCCCGCCACGCCGTCGCGCTACGCGCAGCCTGGCGCCACGCCCAAGGAGGCCGCCGCCGCCGCGCCCAAGACGGCGGGCGCGAAGGCCTGCGCGAAACCCCTGCGCATTGCGTCGGTCCTTCTCGCCTGCCTTGGAGGAGAAGGAGGAGGGGGAGGAGGAGGAGGAGGAGGAGGACGAGGAGGACGAGGAGGAAGAGGAGGAAGGGGAGGAACTGAACTGAACTGAACGTTGGGAACGTTCTCTGAGGTTGCAAAACGGCCTAAATGACCCCCCGACTGGGGAACTGGAAACTAATGATCCTCCATGCGATTGCACATGTTCCAATATCAGCCAAGAAACAATATTCGGGGGCCCTAGCTGGAGGAAGCCTCCGCTGGCCCCGAGGCAAACCCTGTGGGACAAGGAGGAGGTGGAATAGGAGGAGGAGGAGGAGGAGGAGGAGGAGGAGAAGGAGGATCGAGCAAGAACAAATGATAGATCGAGCCAGAAAAAAACATCAATGTTAACGTTCGGGGGTCCGTGCTGGTTTTTCGGGCAGGCGCTGGACACCCCTGGCGGCGCCTCCGGCGCCGCCCCTGGCGCGCCGGGGAGGAGGGCCGGCGCCGACCAAAGAAGCTCGCGCGGACCCTCAAGCAAGTGTGTTTGTATATTGTTGCTGCTTACTCTAGATTTAAGTCGGGCCTGTCCCGTTACAGGAGGAGTGTGAACAAATAGTCAAAAAAATATTATAGGGACGATTTTGTTGACTATGTTTGACCATGTTGGAGCTGTTTTAGGGTATTGATTTTTTTTGGCGTCCAAAATCCCCCTGTACGGGGACATGCCCGACTTAACTCTAGATGAAGAGTCGTGAGCGCCGAGGGGGGGGGGGGGAGGCGAGGAGGGGCCGCGAAATTCCCCAGGGGCCATTGCCCCCTTGTCTTCTCTCGGTCCACTCAAGGTGCCCCCCCGCTCGTCCGCGCCCACTCGCCTCGGGCGTGTGATGCGCTCCCCCCCCCCCCCTTCCTGCCCCCCCCCCCTTTCCTGCCCCCCCCTCACTCAAAGTGGCCCCCGCTCGTCCGCGCCCACTCGCCTCGGGCAGTGAGGCGCTACCCACCCCCCCTTCCTGCCCCCCCCCCCCTTTCCTGCCCCCCCCTCACTCAAAGTGGCCCCCGCTCGTCCGCGCCCACTCGCCTCGGGCAGTGATGCGCGCTACCCCCCCCCCCCCCTTCCTGCCCCCCGTTTTCTTCGCCTCAGGTGCACCCGAAAGGCGGGGGAGGGGGACGGGTTGTTCTGCACTCCCCTGTGCGGGTCGTGTCTGGCGGTTTCCCCCCCCCTCCCCCTTAAAGAGCCTAATGAGGTGGGCACGGCGAGGTGGACCCGCGACGCCGAGGCGCTTGACCGCTCGCTCTGCGCGCGCGTCGCAAGAAAAAGGGATGGGGACTGGTTCGTGTTCACAGTTGGGTTCCAGGAAGGCCCCCAATTAGTAAGCACAAACGGGTAGGGCCGAAAAAAATGGGGTCGCCCGAAGCAAGACCCCAAATTGGATGGGGGTGAAAAACCCAATGTCTTTTCCAAGCGACACGCAGGGGCAGGAGGGGGGAGAGGGAGGAAGAGGAGGAGGAGGAGGAGGAGGAGAAGGAGGAGGAGGAGGAGGAGGAAAACGATGATGATGATGATGATGATGATGATGATGATGAGGATGAGGATGAGGATGAGGATGAGGATGAGGATGAGGATGAGGATGATGATGATGATGAGGAGGAGGAGGAGGAGGAGGAGGAAGAGGAGGAGGAGGGAGGAAGAGCAAAAGGAGGCAGAGCAGAGAGAGAGAGAGAGAGGAGTAGGAGAAGCGCCGTTCCGTGCTGCAAGCTAGCGCCGACAACGGTGGGGCAGGCTGCTGGCTATCTTTGGGTCCAGTTCGAAGCCCAGCGACGCCGTCGGCCCGCGCGGGCTCCCGCGAGGAGGGACCGCGCACTTGTCAAGCTGCCAGCAGCGTGGCGGGCACTGCCGTGGCGCCGAGCTCTTGATTTCAGCACGTTACCGTTGTTTATGTTCCTCCTGTTCCTCCTGCTCATCGTCTTGCTCAACCTCTTCCTCCTCCTCTTCCTGCCCAGCACGGGCTCGAAGAAGAATACCAGTAAGCTGCATAGAAAATAGGTTGTCGATGTTCCGCGCGTATGTTTTAGATCTGCGCTGGTTCCCCCTCGGGCGCTGCCGTCTGGCGCGCTGCGCGCCAGGAAGGGGGACACACCGCCGATCCGAGAAAACCGTCCCCCTGCCTCCCCCACCGTCCGCGTCAACTCGCCTCGACTCGATCCCTCCTCCTCCTCCTCCTCCTCCTCCTCCTCTTCCTCCTCCGCCTCCTCCTCCTCGTCATCATCAGCATCAGCATCATCATCATCATCATCATCATCATCATCATCATCATCACCATCATCACCATCATCATCGTAATCATCATCAGCATCATAACCATCGTCATCGTCATCGTCATCATCGTCGTCATCGTCGTCATTATCGTCATCGTCATTATCGTCGTCGCCATCGTCGTCATCATTGTCGTTGTCATCATCATCGGCATCGTCATCATCGTGGTCGTCATCGTCGTCATCATCAGCATCATCATCATCATCGTTGTCATCAGCAACATCATCCTCATCCTCATCCTCCTCCTCCTCCTCCTCCTCCTCCTCCTCCTCCTCATCATCATCATCATCATCATCATCATCATCATCATCATCATCATCATCATCATCATCCGTCTCACCATCCTCTTCTTCCTCATGCTCTTTGTCCTCATCCCCTCCTGCCCCATGCCCTCCTCCTCCTCCTCCTCCATGTCGACGCCTGGCGCCCCGACCCGCACGAGACGTGGCGCCCCAGGCGGCCGCCAGGGCGCGAAGGGCGGCGGAGGAGGCCGCCACGAAGGCGCGGGAGCCGTCTCCGCGGAAGGCCCGCGCGCGAGCCGGCCCCTCCCCCCGGTGGCGTGTAGCAGGTCAGCTGATTTTATCGAACAGGTTTTGTTTTAGGGTTCTTAGTATGTGTCTGACCGTATCGACACGTTTGGCTCAAGGGAAAAGTACTTACTGCCACTGCTGCTGCCACAGTTGGTAGCGGAGCCTGGCGAGGCTCGGGCGCCATGGGTGGCGACGGGCGGCCTTGATCGGCCCAGCCCAGTCGCTGCTGGAGAGCCCCGGGCCACTCCAGGCTCGCGCCGGCTGGCGGCGCGGGACGCGGAGGTATGCCCGACGACGGCGACGACGACGACGACCAGAAGGACCAGGACGCGGCCTACACGGATCTGTCAGGAGCAGCATCCAGTGGACCGCCGGCAGTGACCCTCTCGGCTCAGCAGCTGAGGGACTTGGTGGCCGGCGTAGTCAGGGAGACTATCAGCGCCGCGCCGACGGCACCTGCTGCAAGTACGGGAGCAGCGGCGGCGGCGGCGGCGGCGGCGGCTCCAGGTTCCGAGGATCGTGATGAGCCCGAGTGGGACCCATGGCGAGGCCAGGCGAAGAGCGGTTCGGCAGCAGCAGCAGGAACTGGCTGGATGGCCAAGGGTCCCAGCGACTGGAACGACAAGTGGAAGGACTACCAGAAGGACGACGATGGCGACGACAAGAGGAAGGACTACCAGGCCGACGCCTGGAGGACCGACAGCTGGCACGACCAGGGTTCGTGGCAGTCATGGAGAGAGTCGACGCCTAGCTGGTACGGCAAAGGCGACTACAGCGATCCACCCCCGTGGCCAGGGTGGAGTCACTACAGGGCTTGGCGCAAGGCGCTGAGACGTTGGAACACCAACACCGACGTACCGACATGGCGACGATGCGAGAAGTTCTTGCGCCTCTTCGATTGGACGAGAAGGTTCTCGCCGGCGACGACTGGATCGAGGCGGTCCTGAAGAAGATGGACCTCATGATCGGCGAGCGCGAAGGTGACGACGTGCGGCGCACGGGGAGGAAGGCCCTCTACGAGGCCTCGAGAGAACAGAAGGAGTCCCTCACCCAGTACGTGGCGAGGAGGGAGTCCCAGTTTCTCGAGGCAGAAGCTCATGATTTGACGCTCTCCTCCAAGATCAAGGGTTTTCTCTTGGAGGAGGGGTCCGGCCTCACGGCGCAGGGAATGCAAAACCTTCGGACGCTCACCCTCGGACGGCTGGATTTCGAAAGTGTCAGCTGGGCGCTCAGGCAAATGGATGCCTCTAGTTCCGAGCGGATGCTTCCCGGCAGTAGGACGAGCTCTTTGCTGGCGGCTGCTCAGGCCGAAGAGCCTCGCGACGCCTCAGGTACTCTCCCTCACTCCTCCTACCCGGTTGGTCAGTCAGAGGTCGGTGACCACTCGGACCAGGACGACGGCGAGGGCTTCGGCGACGAGGACGAGGACTACTACGACGACGGCGAGGAGGAGGCAGCCATTTTGGCAGAGCTCGAAGACCTCGACCTCGAAGAGGACCAGGTGTCGGAGGCACTGGCGATGTTCGACAAGCGGCCGAACACCAGGACGTGGAAGCAAAACAAGGACCTGAAGCGTGCGGCGAAGAACGACCGGGGCTACTTTGGCCGACCCAGGTCGGACGGAGCCCCGCCACCACCTCGCCATCCTCGGGGAGACGCTCGCGGCGGGCGTGGCCGAGGAGGCCGCGACAGGACCGGCGCGCGGGGCAGCGGCGGCGGCAGGCGCCCCAGGCTGACCCCGGAGCAGCTCATGAAGGTCACAAGGTGCGGTATATGTAAACAAAAAGGACATTGGCATCGTGAATGCCCGGAGAAGGACAATCCTAAGTTCAAGCAGCAGGGCCAGCAGAGGCGCCTGGCGGCCTACACTTTCATAGGCTGCGCCCTGAGCGAGCCCATCACCTCGGACATGATCGACGGCTGGAAGGTCGTGAACCAGGAGATCCAGGGCGACGATGACGCGACGCTGGTGCACCTGTCCGGCGGCACGGCCACCCAGGCCTTGGTGGACCCGGGCGCCGGCAGCGACCTCGTCGGCCTCACCTCCCTCAACCGCGAGTCGAAGGCTCTTGCGGCAGTCGGCCTCTGTTTCGACGCCATCCCGAGGCAAGCCCAGAGGCCTCGGGCAGCACGCGGAGTAGGAGGTGCAGCGCAGGTTCTAGGCACGATTCTGTTCCCGATCTGCTTAGGCTCCTCTCTCGGCATAGTGGAAACCACGGTGCTGGCGGACGACGTTCCCCATATTTTGAGCGTCAACTTTCTCGAGTTTCTCGAGTGCGTGATCGATTTGCCCGAGAATTCGATGACCTCAGGCTGTCTCGGGACGGTGATCCCGCTTACCAGGCTCGGCTCAGGCCACAGGATGGCCGAGGTGGTGCGGCGGAGATACCCGAGAGAGCCCTGAATAAGTACACGTTCTTGAGCAAGAATTCGTTTACCTTAGGCGACCGGTCGCCTCCTCAGATGCTGGCTTCAGGAGAAGTGCGTTACTACATCCTCCTCTGCCTCTTCCTCATCACTGTCGTGACAGGCCTCGTGAGGGCCGTGAGGGGGCAGATTCGGTCTTCTGGAAGCACTGGCATCAAATTCGGCGGGTCCCTCCTCGGGTTGACGAAGTTCTGGCTACTGGTGTTTATCGGGATCGTGCTGCCGCGAGCTCAGATAGCGTCCATCAATCCGCGCGGGGGCTTAGGATCAACCGAAGAAGCTAAGGCGAACTGGCCGACGCTCGAGCAGGGAGACTTAGGACGACTAGCGGCGCTCTGGGTTGGAGGCCTTTCCGTAGTCACTCTTGGCTCGAGCCTGACAGGCGCGACTGCTTTCACGCGCAAGACCTTTTCACATGATCACTTTCCTAGTCGGGAGAGCAGAGACACAGGCCGCGACGGCGGCGAGGCTCGCGGCGATCATGATGCTCACGGGTGCGAGCGGCACCCTGGACGGGAAGAAGAAGAAGCCAGCAGCCTGGGATGCCACGCAGCAGGAGCTCGAGAGGCAGCGCCAGGCGGTGCTGCAGCAGCTCCAGCCGCAGGGGCAGACGGTCACCGGCACGACCACGCGGATGGAGACGCCTCAGACTGGAGCGACGCCTCCAGGAGCCACTGCACCGGCGCGGCCAGCAGGCGGACAGGTCTCGCGGGCCCAGCGCGAGGACGACATTGCAACGCAGACAGGCATCGCGGACAGCATGGGCGTGTTCGACCAGGCGGCGGGCCAGGCAGCAGGCGCAGCCGGAACGTCGGTGCCGGCGGAAGCGGGTGCTGCGACATGCCCAGCGGCAGCGGCCTGGGGATCAGCGTCGAGCTCAGGCGCAGGCGGAGCTCCCCCCGCTTTTCAGGGCCCATCCGACCCACTCACGTTCGAGTACCAGCAGGGCTACTTCGGGGTCGGTCGCCCGGGAGCTCCACCGCCAGGTTTTCGACCCAAGCCACCTCCAAAGCTGGATCCGAGGACGGGGCTCATCCCGGGCCAAATGGTTCCTCTCCCGCAGCACACGCACATCCCGATGATGCAGACTCCGGGCGGGGCGGTGCCGGCAAAGCCTCCACCCCGGATCGAGACACTTCCCGGGACGCTGGTCGGTGTCGTGATCGGCAGCGATCCGGCATGCGGGCATCCCGACAGGTGCGTCCGCTACTACGGGAACCAGCATGGGAGTGGGTCCAAGTGCACGAGGTGCGGAGTCCGACTTCCCTGGGTCCCCAGGGGCGCGCTGCCGAACGCCGAACCTGCGGAGCGCCCCGAGCAGTCAGCCGCCCAGGCAGCCAGGACAGCGGCCGCGCAGGCTCAGCGGGCGGTGGAGATTCTACAGGAGAACGACGGCTTCGCATCCGGCGCCGCGGCGCTGAACACAGTCAATCAGCTGGGCGGGCTTCTTCAGAGCCTGCAGTGGCAGCTCTCGGCGGTGCCGGAAGGCATGCGTGCCTCGGCGAACGTCCAGGAAGTGCTGGACACGACGTGCCTTCATGCCCAACAGGCACAGAATGCGCCGGGGCAACTCGAAGAGGGAATGCTACAGATACACCAGGGCGTCGTCAAGATCCAGAGGATCTTGGGCTCCCTCGAGGAGTTCGGCGAAAGCATCGACTTCGCACAGACCAGCGTGGACCTGATCACCACCAACCTGGCGACGCTGCAGCAGAGCGTGGACCAGCTGACCCAGATGATGATCCAGATGGGGACAGCGATCGGCGCGCTCACCGCGATGGCCGGGGTGATGCCGGAGATGTCGGCATCCAGCAGCAGCTCGGGAGTGGGCCTGCCTCCTCAGGGTCAGCCGCAGCAGTTCCAGCCTCCGAGCGGGGGCCAGGGACCGAACCAGAGCGATGGAGGCCAGGGAGGCGGAGGTCCCACATCGACCACCACGACGACGTCTCCGGGCGGGTCGAGCTGGGAGCTCGTGTGAGTGACCATCCTAAGGCTCTAGCAGGCGAGGCGCGAGGACGCCAGACTTCTGTGCCGCGGCTGGCGGCAAGCTTTCCGGGCTGCGGCTGCTGCCCGACCGGAGGCTAGAAAACAGAGCAGTGCTCCTCTCCTCACCCCTCTTCACTCTCTTCCGTCTCTCAGCCAACTCCCGTGGCTTGCTATCCCGTGGGGTTTCCCTTTCGGCTGGCTACGCCCGATAGTGGTGCTCGGTCCCAGGGGCCCGAGGCGTTCTGGCTGGATGGGGACTGGTACAACGACGACCGCGAGGTCTCATGCCCGAAACAGGTCACCTCTGCCCTCGAGGCCAGCGTTCGCAGGGCCCTAGGCGAGGACGCAGCCGGAGCTGGCAGCAACAGCTTTCCGGCTCGCACGAAGCATCGGGCCAAGACCACCTTCCTGGAGGTCTTCTCTCCTCCTCGAATGGCGCCAGAGGTTGAACGCCGGGGAGGGGCCCTGGGAGAGAGACCCAGCTGCGACAAGCTGCTGGGCTGGGACTCGTCACGGCCGGATCACGTCGAAGATCTTTGGCGTCAGATCGAGCGGGAAGAGCCCGAGACAATCTGGATGTGC